GGTTTAATTATATTTATTTCAGTTAAAAACAAGACAATCTGCTACATCTTCTATTGGTTTAAATTGAAGTTTATTGTTCTTACCCCATTGACAGATTTTTTTTTTAAAGCACAAATTAACTTAATTTTAATACATTTTTCCAAAAACAAGAGTAAATATCTAAAATCCAGTGTTATTTTAGTATTGTTTACATACTATTACAGTATATATTAATATTTTGAATTAGCTTTTTTTATATTTTTAGTTTAATTTGTTTAAAACTTTTCATATTTTACAAAGTTTATGTGCTTTGTCATTTTAAAAAATATTTCTATTTAGCTTTATTTTTGTTATAAATTTGAGCTAAAAACAGAAAAATATCTGCTATTGCTTTAAGTGTATTTTTCTTACCCCATTGGCTTCATTTAATTCTTTTTTTTTTAGGAAAACATAATTTTGCTTTCCAAGTGAATCTGTCTTGATTTTAGAATGTTTGGATATTTGTACAGGAAATCAAGCCAAAGCTACTGTGTAAGGATTAGATGTTTTCTCAGGGTATAGTTCTATTTTCTCATTGGTAATTTCTCTGGCAGCTGTGCAAGGCAACGGCTCGTGGCTGGTTTTCTTGCCGGCGGCTCCTTTAGAGACGAGCTCCATTGGTCTGCTGGGTCTGGCCTTCATCACAGTCCTGCTGGCTCTGGCTGCTCTCTTGCTGCTCTGCCACTTACTGTGCTTCCACATTTACTTACGTGAGTTTGAGCCCAGCGTTATCCACTTTTATAGACAGATAGCCGCTTCCGTTCACTCGTGTCGTGTCTCAGTGTCTCAGGGCATCAGCACTTATGAGTACATCGTCAGGAATCGTCAGTCGCCGAATCCTAAAGAGAAAGAGCAGGTTCCTCCGGCGCTGCCGTCTAACGGAGCCACCACACAGGTACAGACCATAAATACAATAAACACAGTAAAACAATAAATACAAATCATGCAATGCAACTTCAACAAAACACTAAATAACTCCTTTGCATAGGGATAAAAAAATATTTAGCATTAAAATTTATGCAAAATATACGTACAGCATGGATTTCTTTTCAGTTAAGGTGTGGCCAAAAACTAATCTTAGGATGTTTAATTAAGATAAAAGCTATTTCGGAATATTAATGAATGCTATAATAGCTAATTTATTAATAAATAATTTCTGTGAAATGGTATATATTATTAAAAGCACTATACAAATAAACAGTTCATTTAAATTAAAATAACAGTACAAAACACTTGCCATGCAAAAAATTACTTCTTTGCATGGGAAAAAAAATGTTTTATATTAAAATTGATGCTAAATAAATAT